GGGTTTTCCCTTTCGGGTCTCTCCACTGGGTGTTTTTAAATTTTTTTGACATGGGGTTTGCTGCAAGATAAGGGGCCTCACATAGCGCTGCGGGCCCCCCAAATATCCATGGGCCCCTATATACCGCCTCCTCATGCCCGCCAATCCAGAGTCTCTCAGGGTTCCCTGTACGGCCTCCCATTGCGCTGCCCATCGCCAACCTGCTGCCATGTGCCACTTTCGGTCCTTCACACTGCTGGTGTTTTAATTTTTTGACATGGGGTCGGGCAGATTAGGGGCCTTTCCCTTTGCTGCTGCCAGACATGTAATTGCCAGGGCCCCCGTACCGACTCCTCTGTGTACGTTGAAAAAGGTGAATTAAACCCACATATTTTAGACTGCTTTACAACAGCAAAAGGGCCATCCAGATTTCCTGATGTTAAAAGCAAAAGGTACTCCCGTGTAACTTAAAATTCAGTCATTGTCACTCATGGGGTGACAACCCGCGCTTGCTCGGCCCTTGAGGGGGCCACGCTATTCGTGATCGGGAGGACAGGGATCAAAGAGGTCAAAAGGGCCATGGGCCCCCGTACCGGCCTGTTTCACCTGATGCTGGTCCCACAGTGTACCGGGGCCCTGTACGGGCCTCCCTGCTTCCCACCTGCCCCTGTCCTCTTTTTAAACTCCCCCACACTCCTGCGTTGTCCATTTTGTCATAGGTTCTGGCGATTAGCGCCTCCCATAGTGCCGCCAGGCCCCTTATCCGGCCATGGCCCCCCGTACCGCTGGTCCACGCGGGGCTTGGGCTTGGCAGTTGTTTTTGGGGACTTGGGGGTCTTGGTACAGGCCATCCCATTGCTCATCCCGACTCTGCCATGTGCCACTTGAAATCTCTTCACACTCAACTAATCCTGCGTTGTCCATTTTGTCATAGGTGCCTGGCAGATTTACGCAGCCCATATGATGCCCAGCCAGCCCCATAATCGCCATGGGCCCCCCCGTACCTCCTGTCACCTGCTGCTAAGTCCCACAGTGTGACCTGGGTCCCTGTACGCCTCCCATTTGCTTCCACTCTGCCATTGGCCACGTTGAACTATCTCCGCCATAACTCCTGCCGGTGTCCATTTGTCATAGGTTTCCTGATGCATGATTACAAAATGAGAGCGGCGTTAACATAGGTGCCAACGCTAAGCCCCATATCGGCGCAAGATTGGGCCCCCCGGTCCCTGCCTGGTCACTAGGTCTGCTGCTGCGGGCCCGCACAGTGATGACCTGGGACCCCTTTAGCCGGCGCCTCACCATTTGGCGCCCACATCTGGCCATGTGCCACTTTCAGGTTCTCCTCACGCTCCTGCTGGTTTCCATTTTGTCATAGGTTTGCTGTATGGTCCTCCCATTGCTGCTGCCTCCACCGCCACACTGTGGCTCCAAACAATGTTTTGGCCCCGTGACTGGCCAAAGTAGTGAAGTGTGCAGTGATTCTAAGATCGACGGCACTCATCTGCATGTCATACTGACAGACCGTATTATTTCTCTTCCCCAGCAGACTCCAAGGGCATTGAAATTTAAAGGTTTACAGTGTTCTGCACTAATATTAAGTCTCTCTGAAGCCTAGAAAAACACCCTTTTTTAAGTTAAATTCACAGCGAATTTATTCGACTCGAATCGAATATTGTCCACGAATTCGCCGAATCAGTCGAATCGAATTTTTCATTTCTTCGCTCATCTCTAGTCACCAGTATCAATTGTGCAATAATGCAGCTGAAGGTTGCATCATCATTTTGAATGGCTTACGTCATTAGATGGGTGAATATATCATGGAAACTAGAGCCAATCAACATTTTTTAGGGTCATTTTTGGTTTTCAGCACCCCAAAAATTATGTAAGATAAGCTAATTTTATGCCCAAAACTTTTTACCTGTTGAACAGTGTAATCGATGCATAACCTGCAGTGAAATTCGACAAGAGAAGCATCTTTCATTGCAGCACTGATTATGAAGTGAAGCCGGCTGTCCGAGGATGGGTTCAGGCATCCTGGACAAATCATTCTATGTCAATATCTATCCAGGCATTAGTTACAGTTGTGCTCAAAAGTTTGCATACCCTGTGAAAATTGTGAAAGAAGCTTTTACTGCACCAATGCCACAAAAAACCTGGTTAAAATATGCCTGACAACACCTTGACATGCTTAACCGGGCCTTTTTGTGTCATTGATGCAGTAAAAGCTTCTTTCTGGCACCGATCCACCAGGCAGCTCATTTTTTGTTCAAGTAACACCGTATTGTACTTCCTTCAAAACAACCCACATTGTCACGGTCTAGGTCAGGTTCAGAGGCCAATTGCTACAGCAGTTGTAAGGCTTACCTGAAACCAGCAGGATAGGGTACACCAGCGGTCACCCTCGGGAATGACGCTAGGACTCACCCTAGAGGTGCGGGTCTAAAGTATCCACCAGTCTTCACCAGAGCTCCTAATGGTGGGAGATGGATTTGGTCTGCGTGTTAATACCAGGTCGCAGATCTCAGGATCACCCCACCAGGGAATGAGAAAGCTGGAAATCAAGAGCGGATCAAACAGTTTAGGGATAAGACAAAAGCAAAGTCAGTCACAAGCCAAAAGTCGGGTCACACAATGATATAGCCGGCAGCAGTAAGGGATGCGCTTAGATATTGGCTGGGAAGGCACAATAATCTGGTAAGGAGGAAGTTCATGGACATGGCTAATTTATAGGAAGTTCATGGGAGGAGCAAGGAGTTCAAGGTTCAAGACAAACAGGGCCCAAGGCAGGATCATCCAAAATTTTTCAAGGGAGCTGTCCAGCATTCCAGGTAGGTCAGTGAGAAGAGTTACTGCCTGACACAATAGAAGTCCCAGGTTCAAGTCCAGGCCCTGACACACACTGTCTTTTTCCAGAGCAGCCTGTATTTTTCTTGTGGGTATCTGTGGGGGGGGGGGGGGGGTACCCTTTGTATCACAAACAATTCCTCTGGCAGTTATGGCTGCAATCTTTCTTGGTGTACCTGACCTTGGCTTGGTATCAAAACATCCCAGAATTTTCCACTTCTTAATAGGTGATTTAACAGTACTGATTGGCATATTCAAGGCTTTGGATATTTTTTTATGTCCTTTTCCATCTTTATAAAGTTCCATTACCTTATTATGCAGGACTTTTGACAGTTCTTTTCTGATCCCCATGGCTCAGTATCTAGCCTAGTCAGTGCTTCCATGTAAGAGCTAACAAACTCATTGACTATTTATACACTGACACTAATTGCAATTTAAAAAGCCACAGATGGGGGACATTAAACCTCTAATTGGCATTTTAAACCCGTGTGTGTGTCCCCTTGTGTGTCTGTACCAAGGCCCAACATTCCAGGGTATGTAAACTTTTTATCCGGGCCATTTGGGTGATTTCAGTTATCATTATTATTTAAAAAGGAGCCAAACAACTATTAAAAAATAAATGGCTTCATATGATCATCGTCCTTCAATAAAAGAGCATTTTTTGGCATGACCAGTCATATTTTCGATATCAATGCCAAAATTTCACAATTTCTGCCAGGGGATGCAAACTTCTGAGCACAACTGTAAAAGCTGGGGATAAGTGTAACCCCCCCCCCCTAAATGTAGCAGGGGAGTATGTCGAAAAATAAGTGCAGTTTCCACTTGAAATTTGTTCTTTTATTATATAAACTCAAAGTTCCCAGTTTGACTTGGACGCCCTTTGTATTATGGTACATAAAAAAATTGCAACTATCAGCGGTTTATTCTCTAGGGTCTCTGCTTTCAAAAAATATATATTTTTTTGGCGGGGGGGGGGGGGAGGGGGGGGGGGGGGGGGGGGGGGGGGGGGGGGGGGGGCGGGGGGGGTACAGAAAAAAAATGCAGATTATAATGTATGCAAAATATTTAAAAAAGTGGTTAAAAAATGTCTCAGAGTGAGCAGAAACTGGCAGGGTTGTTAGATATTTGTTAAACATTTATTCACACAAAAGATACACAAAAAAACCTTTGTACTGCAAAAAAAAGCAAAAATAGAGCTATTTACACAACTTCATTGAGTTTTTCTTGTAAACAATATAGTAATTATCTAGACTATACAATGACCTTATCAAAAGATTTATATTCGTAGAAACCGAACGAGAACTAAGGATTCGTATTAGGGAGCATTTCTGCAATATTTTAAAGGGGAGTGAAAGTAATCCACCGTCTAAACACTATAAGGAATTCCATAACCACAGCCTGAATGTTACAATGTTTTGGAGAATAGAGACAGTCGGGCAAGACTGGGGTGAAAATGATATAATAAATAAATATAAATACAGTCATGGCCGAAATTGTTGGCACCCTTGATATTTTTCCTGAAAATCAAGTATTTCACACAAAAAAGGTATTGCATTAACACATGTTTTGCTATACACATGTTTATTCCCTTTGTATGTATTGGAACAAATATAAAAACAGAGGCAGAAAAGCAAATATGACATAATGTCACACAAAACCCCAAAAATGGCTGGACAAAAGTATTGGCACCCTTAACTTAATATTTGGTTGCACACCCTTTGGAAAACATAACTGAAATCAGTCGCTTCCTATAACCATCAATAAGCTTCTGACACCTCTCACACCCGGAATTTTGGACCACTCTTCCTTTGCAAACAGCTCCAGGTCTCTCTTATTGAAGGAGGACACACCTTTTCCCAACAGCAATTTTAAGATCTCTCCACAGGTGTTCAATGGGATTTAGATCTGGGCTCATTGCTGGCCACTTCAGAACTCTCCAGCGCTTCTTTGCCATCCATTTCTGAGTGCTTTTTGACGTATGTTTGGGGGTCATTGTCCTGCTGGAAGACCCAGGATCTTGGACGCAAACCCAGCTTTCTGACACTGGGCCCTACAGTGCGACCCAAAATCCTTTGGTAATCCTCAGATTTCATGATGCCTTGCACACAGTCAAGGCACCCAGTGCCAGAGGCAGCAAAACAACCCCAAAACATCATTGAACCTCCACCATATTTTACCGTAGGTACTGTGTTTTGTTCTTTGTAGGCCTCATTCCGTTTTCGGTAAACAGTAGAATGATGTGCTTTACCGAAAAGCTCTATCTTGGTCTCATCTGTCCACAAGACGTTTTCCCAGAAGGCTTTTGGCTTACTCAAGTACATTTTGGCAAACTGTAGTCTTGCTTTTTTATGTCTCTGTGTCAGCAGTGGGGTCCTCCTGGGTCTCCTGCCATAGCGTTTCATTTCATTTAAATGTCGACGGATAGTTCGCGCTGACACTGATGCTCCCTGAGCCTGCAGGACAGCTTGAATGTCTTTGGAACATGTTGGGGCTGCTTATCCACCATCCGGACTATTCTCTGCGTTGCAATCTTTCATCAATTTTCCTCATCCGTCCACGACCAGGGAGATTAGCTACAGTGCCATGGGTTGCAAACTTCTTGATAATGTTGCGCACTGTGGACAAAGGCAAATCTAGTTCTCTGGAGATGGACTTGTAACCTTGAGATTGTTGATATTTTGCCACAATTTTGGTTCTCAGGTCCTCAGACAGTTCTCGTCTCCTCTTTCTGTTGTCCATGCTTAGTGTGGCACAGACAGACACACAATGCAAAGGTTAAGTGAACGTCTCTCCTTTTTATCTGCTTTCAGGTGTGATTTCTATATTGCCCACACCTGTTACTTGCCCCAGGTGAGTTTTAAAGGAGCATCACATGCTTGTAACATTCTTATTTATCCGCAGTTGTGAAAGGGTGCCAATACTTTTGTCCAGCCCATTTTTGGAGGTTTGTGTGACATTATGTCGAATTTGCTTTCTTTCCTCCCTTTTTTTGTTTTGTCCCAATACACACAAAGGGAATAAACATGTGTATAGCAAAACATGTGTTAATGCAATACGTTTCGTGAGAAATACATGATTTCCTGGAGAAATATCAAGGGTGCCAACAATTTCGGCATGACTGTATATATATACATATATATATATATATATATATATATATATATATATATACACACACACACAAACCTATATTGCCAGAAGTATGGGGCCCACCGTCCAAATCATATGATTTAGGTGTTCCAATCCCCTCCATGGACACAGGTGTATACAATCCATCCCCTAGGCATGCAGACTGCTTCTACAAACATTGGTGAAAGAATGGGTCGCTCTCAGGAGCTCAGTGACTCCAAGCGTGGTCCCGTGATAGGTGGCCACCTGGGCAATAAGTCCATCCGTGACATTTCCTGGCTACTAAATATTCCACGCTCAACTGTTAGTGGGATATTATAACAAAGTGGAAGCCACTGGGAACAACAGCAACTCAGCCACCAAGTGGTAGGCCCACGTCACATGACAGGGCGGGGTTGTCAGCGCATGCTGAAGCGCACAGTGCGCAGAAGTCGCCAACTGTCTGCAGAGTCAATAGCTAAAGACCTCCAAACTTGGTGTGGCCTTCAGATTAGCACAACAACAGTGCGTAGAGAGCTTCATGGAATGGGTTTCCATGGCCGAGCAGCTGCATCCAAGCCTTACATCACCAAGTGCAATGCAAAGCATTGAGTACAGTGGTGCAAAGCATCGGATGCCGTGGTG